ATCTTATATTCTTATATGATTAATAATATATCTCTTCACACGTGTGCGTATTACTAGAACATATTATTTATTATCAACATTTTCTAAAAATAATGTAGTTAATAAACTCTATAGTATTCGAAATATTTTGTTAAATACTTTTTCTTTACTAACTTCAAGATTTGTTGTATGCTTTGGAAACTGAGATACAGCTGAAGATGTTTAATAATAAAGGAAAATAAAGTAACATTTATTAACATTTAATATTATTTAATTTCAAATTTTAATTATAACAAATGTTCGAATTATCGCCCACTTGATTCAATACATGCTTGAATACATCGGATTATGAATTATCGCACTCTTTCAAAGATCCCGAGATAGTTGCGAGTATAAAAGATGCGTTGGCGTAGTTTATCTTTATTGGCCATTAGAACTTTATAAATCAATCCTAATATGAACTCATCAGTCCTAATATGAACTCAGCATTTGTCTGAAACATTTATCCATTAATAATGATATATTATAAAAATTGTTATTGATTTTTTTAATATCTAATATTTAATATATGTATTTTTGGAAAACTTACATAATCTGGCGACACAGTCAGATTTTCCTATAAAAAAAAATAATTCTGTTTATATTATAACTAAAACATATACGCAAGATATTTCCGATTAATAATTTTAAAAAATATGATATGAAGAGACAGAGAAAATTTTCATATTTTGCTAAATCCGAAAAACGCATTTTAACTACAACACTATAGAGGTTTAACTACAAAAATTGCTTATATACAATTGCTTACTCATAAATTGTATAATTTTGAAATTAAGACACATTGAATATTAATTTAATCCTTAAATAACATAATTATATTACGTTAAATTAACACTCGAATATTTAGTTACCTTATATGTACAAATATATATACTCCTCACTTTTTAAATTTAATACATATGCATTACTTGTAAAAAAAATAGTAAGTATTACTTTAGAACTAATAAAAATTTAAAAAAGGATAATTATAAATACATGTTCTAAGTTTTCAGATTTAAAGTAATAAACTAATTACGATTAACAACAAAATGTATAGTAATTTCTGTAAATGAAACAATGCTCATGCTGTAAACATATGGTTTCATTCCCTTTTGTGTATTTCAGAAATAAATAAACATAATATAGAAATATATCATAGAGAAATACGATATAATACGTAGAATTAAAATTTATATTTGCTTAATATAAGATGATATTATATATATGTATATATATACGTATATATATACATATATGTATATGTATATATGTTATTGTGTAGTCTATATTTTAGAGAGTCTAATAATTTCTCATTTTATAAGTGCAACTTGTTCTTACGCAACTATTCTAACGAACTTGGCCGCCTTTTTCAGAAACAATTATCCATTAATAACGATATATTATAAAAATTGTTCTTGATTTTTT